CAAATAATAAGGAAATATACTTGGAAGTTCAGTTATCTCTCAATAGATGGAAAACAAATTAATAAAAAATACTTGGAATTTCAATTATCTCTCAATAGATGGAGAAAAAATTAAGAGAAAAACACTTGAAAGTTGAGTTATCTATCAATAGATGGAGAAACAAATAATAAGGAAATATACTTGGAAGTTCAGTTATCTCTCAATTGATGGAGAAAAAATACTTGGAAGTTTAGTTATCTTTCAATGGATGGTGAAAGAAATTAGGAAAAATACTTGGAAGTTCAGTTATCTTTCAATAGATGGTGAAAGAAATTAAGAAAATACTTGGAAGTTCAGTTATCTCTCAATAGATGGAGAAAACAAATAATAAGGAAACATAATTGAAAATTCAGTTATCTGTCAATGGATAGAGAAACAAAATAACGAAAAATACTTGAAAGTTCATTTATCTCTCAATAGATGGAGAAAAAATTAATAGAAAAACACTTGGAAGTTGAGTTATCTATCAATAGATGGAGAAACAAATAATAAGGAAATATACTTGGAAGTTCAGTTATCTCTCAATTGATGAAGAAAAAATACTTGGAAGTTTAGTTATCTTTCAATGGATAGTGAAAGAAATTAAGGAAAAATACTTGGAATTTCAGTTATCTCTCAATAGATGGAGAAAACAAATAATAAGGAAAAATAATTGAAAATTCAGTTATCTGTCAATAGATAGAGAAACAAAAATAACGAAAAATACTTGAAAGTTCATTTATCTCTCAATAGATGGAGAAAAAATTAATAAAAAAATACTTGGACATTCAGTTATCTCTCAAAAGCTGCATAAAAAAATAATAAGGAAGAATACTTCGAAGTTCAGTTATCTCTCAATAGATGGAGAGACAAAAATTAACAAAAAATACTTGGAATTTCAGTTATTTCTCAATAGATGGATTAAAAAATAATAAGGAAAAATACTTTGAAGTTCAGTTATCTCTCAATAGATGGAGAAAAATACTTGGAAGTTTAATTACCTTACAATAGAATGAGAAAAATTTTTTGGAAGTTCAGTTATCTCTCAATGGATGGAGAAAACAAATTAAGAAAAAATACTTGAAAGTTCAGTTATCTCTCAATAGATGGAGAAACAAAAATTAATTAAAAATACTTTCAGTTATCTCTCAATCGGTGGAAAGAAAAAATTAATAAAAAATACTTGGAATTTCAGTTATCTCTCGATAGATGGAGAAAAAATACTTGGAAGTTCAGTTATCTGTCAATAGATTGAGAATAAATTAAGAAAAAATACTTGGAAGTTCAGTTATCTGTCAATAGATTGAGAAACAAATAATAAGGAAAATACTTGGAAGTTCAGTTATCTCTCGATAGATAGAGAAAAAAATAATAAGGTAAAATATTTGGAATTTCAGTTATCTCTCAATAGATTGAGAAAAAATCAAGAAAAAATATTTGGAAGTTCAGTTATTATGAATAGATTGAGAAAAATACTTGGAAGTTCAGTTATCTCTCAATAGATGGAGAAAAAAATTAAGAAAAATACTTGGAAGTTCAGTTATCTCTCAATAGATGGAGAAAGAAATAATAAGGAAAAATACTTTGAAGTTCAGTTATCTCTCAATAGATGGAGAAAGAAATAATAATGAAAAATACTTGGAAGTTCAGTGATCTCTCAATAGATGGATAAAAAAATTAAGAAAAACTACTTGGAAGTTCAGTTATCTCTCAGTATATGGAAACTGTACTGAAGTATTATTAAGAACCTTTACTTAAAACACAATAGAAGTAAGTACTGTCGCTACCTTATATTTGCACAACAAACACGTCCTGATGCTCGTCCGATAACTATCAATTTAAATCCCTTTGTGTTCATTTCAAAATGAAAGATGCATAATTTATGTTTATTTCATAATTTTTATGGTGGTTGCAAGATCGTTCAAATTTTTCGGACCCGAACAGAAATTAATTACTGTAGACAATATATAAAATATAAAGTTTTCTCTTTTTAAACGTTTGCTAACTATTTCGACATTACAAAAAATTCGCATATGAAAGTTCGAAATTTTCTGATGCTCAAAAGTATTTTTAATGTTAAGATGAAAATTACTTTGCCTGACAGAAAGGCAAGATGTGAAAAAATTGCCCGCCAGATTTGTATATAAGAGCAATGTTATTATCTTCTCCTATTACTCGCGTTTTTCTGAGAATATAACAAAAATGAAAACCACTACTCAGGAGAATTACTTTTATATTTCATAATAGTTCCGCTTTCCGTCACTATACGGCAGCACATAATGTTTTTTTTTA